GGGCCACCGCGGAGGCTCAGCCCTGCGGTGCTCAGGCACATCAGCAAAGCCACACGCCCAGTTCCAACTTTTCTTAGTGAGGAGATGCAGGTTTGTGGGACAGGGGCTGGGGCGGCAGGTGGGTGTCGGGGTGTTCTTTGAGGATGCTGGCCTCTTCAGCCTCAGCTGATGGGCCAGGAGACGGGGTGTTGTGCCAGGGTCCCTGTGCTTCCTTTTGAGCAAGGGAGGCTGTCCTTTTTTCAGCTGGGCTAGAGTTAATTTTCACAAGGAACGCTGAAGTGGCCCAGCCAGGACAGCTAACCCAAACTAGCCAAGGGGTTATTTGGTCCCATAGGACATCACGCTCAGCAGAGCCCCAGGGGACCAGCAGTGTTGTCAAAGGACAAAACTGATACAGAAGTCCAGGGACAGAATTTTTTGTACCCAAATGGAAGCTGCATCTTCTTAGTGCGATCTCTCAGCCACGGCATCAGTTGAGGCAGGTACCAAGAGGTACCCCTCATTTCAGACCGCAGGGTTGAAACTGGGAAGACCAGTCGAGAGAACGAGAACTAGACCCTGATGGAAGCGGGAGAAAACCCGCCTTCGGGCGACCGTTACCGCCGCGACGCGGCCCGCGGGCGCCATCTTGTGGGCAGGCGGCCATTAGCCGCGGGCGCGCCGGTCACGTCCCCCTTCTCCTGAGGGGGCTCCCGGGCGGCCGGGCCAATCAGTACGGCCGGCGCTGCGGAGCGCGCGGGCCCCGCCGGTCGGAGCGGCGGCGGCTGCCGGCCCCAGGGTGTCAGAGTGCCCAAGAGAGCAGTGTCCCCCAGCGCTGCCGGAGGAGCAGGCAAGACCCTCCTGCGCTCCTCCCAAGCGCAAAAGGAGATGTCCCGTCTCCAAGGAGAGAGGTGAGTGCAGAGCTTCCCCCCGGGCACCGGCCAGAGGGGATTTTGGCCGGTGCCCGGCTGTGCTGCCACAGGCCCCCGCAGCGTCCCAGGGTGCTCCGGCCTCTCCCCCATCCCCGCTCCCAGCATTACCCCCACCGGCTCCGCGGCGTGCTGCTGGGGGTGACGGTGCCTCTGTCCCCCGGCAGTGTGCGGGCTGTGCCGGCAGGACAACTGTGATGCCGACGCGGTTGGCCAGCCGGGCGGCCCCACAGAACGCGGCGGGGCTCCCTGGGGACTGTGGCTCTGACACCGTTGTCCTTCCTGCCGTCCCCAGAGGTGCCACATCTGCCAGCTGCCGGGCTCCTCGGTCACCTGCCGGGGCCGGCAGCGCCCTGCCGGGTCCTGCCCCGGCGCTGCCGGCCCTGGCGCTGCCGGCCCTGGCGCTGCCGGCCCTGGCGCTGCCGGCCCTGGCGCTGCCGGCCCTGGCGCTGCCGGCCCTGGCGCTGCCGGCCCTGGCGCTGCCGGCCCTGGCGCTGCCGGCCCTGGCGCTGCCGGCCCTGGCGCTGCCGGCCCTGGCGCTGCCGGCCCTGGCGCTGCCGGCCCTGGCGCTGCCGGCCCTGGCGCTGCCGGCCCTGGCGCTGCCGGCCCTGGCGCTGCCGGCCGGGGCATCTTCCACTTCCCCTGCGGCAGCAAGCGGGGCTGCGTCTCCCAGTTCTTCGGGGAGTTCAAGTGAGTATGGCTGCCCCGCGGGGTCGGGGCCGGGGCTGGTGCCGGGGCCGGGTGGCCGGGCGGGTTGGGGCCGGGTCCCGGGCCCGGGGCCAAGCTGTCCCCTCCGTCCTGCAAGTCTTTTTCCTGGAAGCACCGGCCAGTGCAGCGGGTGCGGGCGGTGCAGCAGGACCAGACCCTCTGCCTCATCTGCCAGGAGGGGGTGGCGGAGCGGCCCTGCTACAACACCCTGGTGTGTCCCGCCTGCGCCAGCGCCTGGTTCCACCGCGGCTGCATCCAGGTAGGTGGCATCGCCCCCGCCCCCTGGAGCGATCCCCCCTGCTGTCACCCTGTTGTCACGTCACCCAGCTCCAGGGCGGTGAACCGGACCCCGGGTGCTGATGCTGATGCCATCTCTGCCCCAGGGACAGGCGCTGCGCTCCGGCTTTCACTACTTTTGCTACCCACTTTGCAGCAGCAGGGAGCAATTCCTGCCAGAGATGTTTCGCCTGGGCATCCGGATCTCTGACAGGTCAGTGCCCTCCCTCCCGCTGCCGCCTCCCCCTCCGCGATGCTCCAGCTGAGCCCTCCTGCCTGCGCGGGTGCCGCCGGGGTGTCCCCCACGGCCCCAGGGTGAGCGCTCCCCCGCTCCCGCCGGGAAGCTGCCTGGGAGGAGGAGGATGGGGCCTTTGCAGGCCATTACTTGCGGCACAGCTCCTGTGATGCCAACCAGTGCCTGTGCCCAGAGGGACGCGAGCATGTGGAGGTGAATGGGTGAGTGCCGGTGGCTGCGGTCCCCGCAGCCCCAGCGAGGAGATGGCGATGCCTTCGTCTCCTCCTCTGGGCACGGATGGAGCCTCCCTGGGATATGGGCACGGCACGGCAGGGTGAGTGCCAGCAGCTCAGCCCCAGCTGCCGGCGGGAGCAGGGTGGACGTGGGCTCAGCACAGCGCCGGGGCTGGCACCCACACACAGCTCGGGGGCCTTTGGTGGCAGTGGGTCCTGATGCTCCCCCTGGCCCTGGAGACTTCTACTGTGCACATCCTGTGCCTCACAAGGGACCCACCAGCTCTGCTCTGCCCTGGGGGAAGATGATGCCGTCTCCTGGGACTGCAGCGACTGCAGAGGCATGGACCCTGGAGAGGGGAGCAGCGGGGCGACAGAGTCCCCAGTGTCACCTGCCACCACAGCCACGCAGGACGTGGGGACATGGACAGGGCTGTGATCCGGGGAGAGAGGGAGGGAGGAAGAGTGAGGTGGGCTTGCACAAGGTGCTCATCATCTCCCTCCCTTGACACCGGACCAGACTCCAGCCCCTCCAGTGCAGGGAACCTTGCGCAGCGCCCTGCATCCCGACACTTCACCTGAGGTTGACTGTGGTAGTTAGGGTCCGGCGACCGGAAGATATCGCGTTGTACGGAAAGGTAGAGCCTCCCTCCCTATAACCAAGAGACATGGACCCTTAATGTAAGCAGGCGGAAGTGACGAAGTAGACTTAGACTATATAAGGCAATGTAACCTAACAATAAACGCCATTTTGCCTCCACCGTATTGGTGTATGTGTGCTGATGGACCACGCAACCTGGGATTGGTTGCCGTGCCGTTCCTGAACCGGGCCACCGCGCGCCTTAGAGAAAGGCAACAAGTCTCCAAACACAGAGACTGATCTTTCTGCAGAGTCCATAGGTTACTGAAGAGGCACCCCTAGAAAGTGTCCCTTTCTGCTTACTCTCCAAGTACCTCAGTGTGTGGTCCTAAAGACTGGTAGTGTGACTGCCCTTTTCCTCCTGTTTGTTGTTGTTTTCTCGTTGGTTTGGTTTGTTTTGTTTTTTTTTTTTTTTTGTCTGCATATGAAGCTTTGGACAATTCTCAGAAGAATCTGGACAATGATGTAAAATTCCTCCTGTCTCTCATGATTGTGTATTCTGCCTTCATGATGCTTTCTTGAAAAGATAACGTCTCATGGGGAGGGAGCCATCCTTGTTGCTGTATGAAAATCCCCTCAAAAAACTAGAAACAAAGTAGATAGTGCTGCAAGCTTGCAAACAAATTGGGCCAGAGAGAACTTAATTTCTAGCTTATTTCAGTGGTTTTAAATGCTTGTGGTGATACAGATGTTAAGTTTCAGAATATTTTGTGGTTGGTCATATGTCACTTTTGGTCCAGTGAGTGTTAGAAATTGTGGCAGAGGAAGGTGATATTCTGCCAGCTGTCCAAAGATAAGTGATAGGAGAAATAGGAGAAAAAGACAGGTTTTCTTACTTGATTTGATTTTGTTTCCATACTAGTTTAGACATCAGAACTGAAATCCAGGATCATGGTGAGAGATGCAGGGGTTTCCCATCACATTGCAGGAATGGCTGTACAGCAGGGAATTTCCAGGCTCTTGCATGGAGGTGTTGGGTGCACCCCATTGTTCAAATGGCAGATACACCCCTGCAATGAATGGAATTCAGTCTGGTGACTGCATTTCAGTAGCTTATTGAATAGTTCACTCTGCTCTGCCGAGACCCAGTGGCATGCACATTTTTAGACTTTCTTATATTTTCCAGTGTTTCTTAATTATTCCATTCCTTTGCTCTTTCATGCCCTTTGGAGTGGCCTATTTAGGGATGCCTCTTCCACCCCAAATCATCCCAGTCTTTACTGTAGGAATATTGTACTTGCAGAGGTGACCTCTGTCAAGCAGAAACGGGCTTGCTGGCATTTTGTCAAGCCATGCTTGAGACCTTCAATTTGCTTTCTTTTAAACTGGGTAGACCTTTGAGGCTGGCTCAGACTGTAGAACTGGGCAGTTGCCTTTGTACATGTTTGCATGATGAGCTTACAGAGTGTCCTGGGTTTCTGCGGCGGCGGGGGGGTGGGGTGGGGTGGGGTGGGGTGGGGTTGTTTTTGGTAGCAGGGGAGGGGCTACAGCAGTGGCCCCTGTGAGAAGCTTCTGGAAGCTCCCCTGGCTCCAAGTCAGACCCACCTCTGGCCAGGGCTGAGCCAGTTAGCAATGGTGGCTGCACCTCTGTGATAACGTATTCAAGACGACACCTAGGAGGAAGAGTTGGGACTTGTGAGGAGAAGTTGTGAGGACATCTATGGAAACACAGAGGTCAGTAGGAGAAAGGAAGAGGAAATGGGGGAGGTGTGCCAGAGCAGAGACACACCACACACGCACCCTCTCCCCCCATATCCTGTGGTGAGAGGGCAGGGCCGCCCCTCCTGCCCCTGGTGGAGGTCCAGAGACCAGTCTGCATCCTGTGGAGGACCCCATGCTGGAGTCTGCACCTGAAGGAGGCCAGGATCTGTGGAAAGAAGCCCCCACTGCTGTAGTTTGGCGCTGGGAGGACTGCAACAGGGAGGTGTGACCCATGCTGGAGCAGCATGGGCGCAGCTACAGCCTGTGGGAAGGACTCATGGCCAGAGAATGTTCATGGAGGACTGTCCCCCGTGTGTGGGGAACCATGCTGGAGCAGGGGAGAATGCGAGGAGTTTTCTCCCTTGAGGAGGAAGGAGTGGCAGGGACTGACTGTAACCCCATTCCCTACCCCCTGTGCCACTGGAGGGGAGGAGGTAAAGACATCCGGAGCAAAACTGAGCCTGGGAAGAAGGGAGGGGTGGGGAGGGGTGTTTTTGAGTTGTGGTGGCTCTTCTCACTGTCCTACTCTGTCTGTTAAGTGTTGTTAGTGTTTGAATTTAAGTGATGCTTGGGTTTGTTTTTTTTTTTTTTTCCTTCCCCTAACAAGTCTGCCTGTTGCCCATGACCATAATGGGTGATCCGCCCCTCCCTGCCCTTATCTCAATTCTTGAGCCTTTTGCTTTATTTTCTCCTACCCATTCCTGAGGGGAAGGGGTAAGTGAAGGGCTGGGTGGTGCTTAGTTGCCCTCTGGGCTCAAACCAGGACACAGAGTAAAGGTGTGTTCGTAGGGGGAACAGACTGGTTTATCTTGCATTAGGCACTTGAAGGAGAGAAAAGAACTTTAATCATAACCTTCAGACTTTTCTTCCTGCTATTAACTTTTCAGTCATATGGGATCTTTTGTGCTGCTGCTGAGTGTAGGAAGCAGTTAATGTTACCTCTCAGCTCTTTTCAGTAGACTACGATGTTCATTTGGCTATCTTTGGGTATCATATTTTCAGTATTCATAATCACAAGTAGTCAAACCAGTGACTCAATTATGGGTTCGGTAATACCCAGCTTGTAAGTACTAGGTAGCAATCTCCCAGTAACAATTGGGTGTTACATGATGGACATTCCTAAGGAAGCAGAAGCTACTTTGCAGTGTTGGCTTGAGGATAGCAATGAGGGTGGTGCTTGTTCTCTCTTCACCTAACACCTTATTCCTGGCAATTCCTCCAGCTTTCTTCCTTGTACGGTCAAGTCAGCCAGGGACAATTGCTAGTGCTCTCCTCTGGTGCTTTCTGGGATTGTGGTAAAGAAGCGAGTCTGTTTGTTTGGCTCCTTCATCAGTGCTGCTGATGTTAGTCCAAGGTGAGTAAATTACCAAAGAATAGTTAATAGGTGTTTGTTCCTAGTCTGTGTTGTTCATTTTCCTCATAGATCCATTTTTAAGATTCATTGCTAGAATGCCAAGTGATCTTACTGGACTTAGTCTGTCCACAAAGGTTACATTCATGTTGTGGGTGACTCTTGTGACGCCCTTAATGAGGGTGACTCCTGAACTTCATTATGGGGATATATGTGCTGCCTCCATTTCAAGTCTTTGGCAGCTTTTTGTATCCTAAGGATTAAGATACTTTTGTATCAGTTGTTTTTCTCCAGAATTTCTCTTGCTTTGTATATAGCTTGAAGGTGCAGCGTTAACAGATTATATGATCCAGCTACGTTGAGTGGTGGTTTGGTGTCTTAATTTCTGCCCCTCAGCTGAGAGACACTTACTGACCTTGTGAACTAGTGTCCCTTACCCGGTGCAGATGTGAAATAAAGCAGGCTTGCCTAGACCCTTCATGGAGGTCACCTGTTTTGTTTGTTTGCAAGAAACCAAGAACAGATGGGCTGGCGGTTACTGCATCCTGGCAAAGCAGCAGCATCTTTCAGCAGCCAGGTAGGATCTGTGAGATCTGTTTGTGGTGGTCTGATACCCTACCGTTACTTTCCATGAACGCACTTTTCCAGGGTGTCTGATGTTCTTAATTAACTTCTATTGCAATTGCTGCTATGACTAAATTACTGAATTTGGGTACAGCTCATTCCTAGGAACACTGTTGCCGAGCTGTGTGTGATGCAGGCAGAGCTGATCATCTGGCCAGCCCGTGCTGAGCCCTGGATTCCTGTTCTGGCCAGGCACATGCTCTCTAGCTTAAAGCCAAGTAAAAATCCTGGTGTGCACCACTGGCCACCCCACAGCCAGAGCCGATGGTGTGACCTCAACTTAAAATGCATTTCTGACTGTTGCAGTGCCATCCATAATTTATTTAAAAGTCTCTGAAGCACAAACACTAGGAATTTGTCCATGTCGCAGACAAGGGAGAGTGAAAGGAGAATACAGCCACAGCTTGTCTGAAGGGATCTCCTGTGTATGCTCTCCCTTCCCTCTGCAAGTGGACACTTGTGTGGTGAGAGGGGGCACAAGAAAAAAGGTGAAAGCCCAACAGTGTTTGGTATTGCTGTCAGGATTCCTGAGGAATTTAAAAAAAGAGGGGATACTTGTTCATTCCTCAGGAGGTACTTGTGAAAGGGCTGAATCAGAAACATTTTCAGAAAGACCAAGTAGATATCCCTATTATTCTTGTTTCTCCATGTTAACTTTCAATGATTTAAATTAGGAAGTATCTTCTTGCCTGTGATGCTGTGTTTCTTTATCAGAACCATGTGGTACTTGGCTAATCAAAAGAATGCTCTTGACAGAAAGGAATCTTCCCAATTGAGTGCCATCTTCTAGTATCCTGCTAGGAGCAGTATGGTCTAAAAGTGCACACAGATCTAAGCAGGGTTGCAGGTTTGGCAGAGTTGAGAAAATGTGGGCTGCCTGACCATGTCTGTACCCCCAAACATACCAAGTGAAACACTGGATTGTATACAAATTCTGGTCATTAGACTGAAACTGAAAAGGTGTGTAAAAACCCCTTGCAATGTAGCGCGATGTCTCTGTAGTCATAGATGTTCTGACCTCAGAATAAAAATCTAGGAGTCAATACATTGTTTTCTTAGGAACTGCTTTTCTAGATTCCCTTAATAAAAGGGAAAATTCAGGTGCTGAATCTTAAAATCTCATTAAACTTGTACTTTTTATTTGCCCATTCACCTGGTCTCCTTTCCTTTTCAAGGCCTCCCACAGTCTCAGGGTATATATCGCTATGACTCATCCAAGTAATACCGAAATGGACCAACCAGAGGTTAATGTGCCTTCCTCTTCTGGTACCTTGATCTTTGTAAAGTTATGTCACAAACTCATCACTGTCTTAGGACTGGGTACATGCGTTGTCTTTTTCTAAGATGTATGTGTTGAAGTTGCAACAGGTTTGTACTGTTAACTTGTGACTTGTTCCATGTGTTTTAGGATGTGGTGTAGACACAAATCAATGCACTGGTTTGTCTTGGGATCAGTCTTACCTGTGACATCTATCAGTGCTTGCTTGTATGTTAATGTGTACACAAATGCTGGATCTTCCCTGTTGCCTATCATGTATCTGATGCACAAACTACACAAGGTGTTTTAAAATGTGCAGTGATCACAACTTGTTGCATGAGGGTAGGATGTCCTACAGGGAATTCTTTAACGTTCTTTTCCAAATATATTTAATAAGATCTAAAGCCTTCAGAGGGAAAAAAAAAAATCATGACTTGCTGATACTTACTGGATTTTGTTCTGAATACAGGGTCTGATATTTGTTAATAACTCTTGCAATACCACCCATTTAACAAAGCCTTTCTCAGCTTGCTGTTTGTATCGTGAGCTGTGTCAGTAACAGCACTGGATCCCAAATTATCACAGAAGCTGTTGAGTGAAGCAGTAACAGCTATCTTCAAATGTTACAGTGTACATTTTTAAATGTAAGGTAAAACTGTTCAAAATTATTGATGCAGGTTGCAAGTGGAACAGTGGGAAATTGCAGATAGTATGTAAAACCAGCCTGTCTGTATGTGGGGCTGAGCAGTCTGTTACCTTGTAAATTGTTTCTCCTTTCTGAAAATTGATGATTTATTTTTTTAAAAACACAAAGACATTACATGTTTGGTTTTGTTTTCTGAATCGGCAAAGGATACCTTTGTTCTTAAACTCAAACTGGCATCTGGAATTTGGGCTGAGTTTCCATCTCTTAAGCAGATAGCAGACGATGGTGTGATTAATACAAGATGTCCCTCCCCAGCTGTAAGGTTAATTTGATCATAAGAGCATGGAAACAGGAACGCCAATCAGTGTGGCCTTCAATGGATGTGCATATCCATAATTAACTGAAGTACAGTACTGCACTCTGATCCATGAGGCTACTTCTGTTTTTAGAATCAGCACAATTAGTTAGCAGTGTATTGACATTAATACATGGCCAAGGAGCTCCCATGTATGTGTGTTTCATGTGCTAACTGTATCTGTTCTCTCTGTACTCCAGTGCAGATTTAACCTGGAGTTCTCTTTTTACTTCTTGCTAACTTCAGAGTGTCTTCAAATTCAGTAAAAGGTCCTTTTTTTATCACAGTCACTTTTCAGAGTAGAATAGGTGGGTTTAACTTTTTCCAACCTTCAGCATCTTCCTCTTATCCCATTTCTTCCTTGTCCACCTTTAAAAATCAGTTCAAAGGTGCTTGCCTAGTCTGAAAAATACCAAGTCACAATAAAAAGAAAAACTGTAGCTCACTGTAGAAAGATCACTCTGTGATTTTACCATAAACTTCAGTGGCTGGCTAGCTGCCTCAAGTGGAGACTCCACTCTTGCACAGTCTACAGAAGCTGAAATTCTCTTTCGTCAGTATTGTATGGTGGATGTCATCAGATCAGGAAGTGGAAGTGCCCTGCGTCTGTGTGTTTGTTAAACTCATCGGTGGCGGTTTAGTCAACCAGAGAACTGCCATCTTTGGCTGCTACTCAGTGTCATAACTAAAGATTTCATTGAGGGCAAAGCCAGGAGGGTGTGTTACTGACTTTCTGCTGGATTGATCCCATTTAAAGACTTTCTCCAAAAATTTTTTTGACTTTTGCATATTTGGTGGATTATGAAAAAAACTATGCTAAAGTAGGGCTACAAGCTAAACTAACCCTGTGCTCAGAAGGCAGAAGTTATTATAATGAGTTTTGGCCAGCAGTAATGTCAAAGGCTGGTTTGTGCTCAGAAATGAGCTGGTAACGGAGTGCTTGAGCAATGGAAGCCTTGAGGGTTTGCTCTGTCATGCCTTATGTTTATGCAACTGCAGATTAGTTGCTACCTGAGCTTGCGAAACTGCTGGTCATCCCTCTTCAGATGTGAAGATGGCATGGGGATGAACCAGTTTCCTCAGTAGTCACTCACTCCCCCTCATCACTCAAGGTTACCAATGCACTTGTCTCTTTGTTTTCATGATTGGCTATGACTAGCATGCTTTACAGCTGCCACCAGCCACCTCCACGTGCTTCCTGCCAGGATGGTGGAGCAAAAGGGCCTTGTCTGCAGCTCCGTTCACCTGGTTGATTGTTGATGTGCAGGGGTGTAACAGACCAGCTGGGGCTTACAGCTTCAGTTGGCTGCTCTGGCCTCCTCTCACTGTGCAGGTGTGATAGTGGGATCATTACAAAAAGATCTGGATAAATAACTTCTAATGGGCTGTGTCACTCTTGTTCAAAATGCTGTGTTTCCATTCTCAGCATCTCATCCTGGCCTCGCTCCCGTCTTGCCGCCTTCTCTGCCCCTTGGGACTTGAGCAAGTTCCCTGTCCTCTCATGGTTTACTAGCTCACGTACCAGTTCTGCAAAGCCTGGGAGCACCTGTTAAAGACCTACTGCAGTTTATGAGAATTCTGCACTCACTTAGGCAGTAGCTTGCTGAATTCAGGCCTTGTTCACAGTTTCCCTATTCATTTGTCTCAGCCCTGGGTATCTCCCTGGACGGGTATGCACCTTTTGGTAGGAAAGACTTTGCTCCAAACTCGTTCCTGTTCCATGAAGGAGTTGATTTCTCTACTGCTGCCTTTTTCAATTTGGTGGCTTTTATTTTTCTCGTTTATTGTGGGATTCACTGCTTATGTACAAAATCGTACTGACTTTCTCCACTCTCCTGAACATCATACAGGGACCCACCCCGTGAGGCATCAGAACTACTTGTCTACTTCCAAGTTGCACAGAAACAAGGATCTCTTACACAAATACCTATTCACAAGTGGAAAGGTATCTCTGGGTAGAATAGGTGAGGGAGCAGTTTAAGAATTTTACATAGAGGAACAGTAACTGAGTTTTTTGTTTTTTGTTTTTTTATAAAAATTGCTTTAACAGGAGGTTTGCCTGTGTTCTAATCCACAGAAAGGTGCAATGTAAACTGAGGTTTTCTTTTCATCAATGCAAAATGTGCCTCTCAACTGTAATGCAAAAGTCAGTCTCTGTCTCTCTCTGCTTGCAAAGGAAGAAGTTTAACTGAAGACTGATATAATATGTTTCTTGCTCTTACGTGTAATCATCTACACAACAGTCCTTGCTAGTCTTTCCCAAGCATCATACAGCACTATCCCTATTAGAAAGTAAAACAGGGATTGTATTGAGCAGTGGAACCTGCTGAACTTCCTTGGTTTGAGAGAGACACTGGAGAAGAGTCCAGGTTCCATGTGTTTTAAATATAACTTTAAACCAATGCAGCTACTCTCTCAGATCAACATCACTTCCTACGTTTCCCTCCATTCAGATGGGAATTTAAAAGTAAACCCAGCAATATGTGATGCAGTTGATGTGCTTGCAGGTGGAACAGGGGGTTTTTGAAATTTGAGGATTGAGATCTCTTGTGGAAGAACTCAGTGTGAGTGCAAGATCTTGGATTGCAGCTCTTTTGCCAGCTTGCCAAATGCAGTCAAGTACTCTGGACTCCTCTGAAGAAGACTGTGGTAGAAGAGCTGTGAAGATGTAGGCTGGAACTGATCATTTTAGTCACCTGTGTTTTGCTTGACTCCATGGACAATGTAACAGTGATTTTTACAGATTGTTTTCCCTGTGTCAGTTGCAAATAACTCTTAATTTGCCATTTGGAAGAAAACTGTTAATAGATAGATTTCCAGATCAAATTAAGAGCCTAATTTTCCATCTTTCATTAACCGGGTTACTGTGTTCACATGCCAGAAAGATGTTGCTCTTTGAAAAAGCATGTTAGTGTATGTGGCAATGACCCATGCACTTTTTAAGTACATAGATCTGTGCATTCTCACCTGAGTGTTGTTAACTATGCTGTAGTCTGACAAACGTATCTTTTACTACTGCCCTGTTATATAGATAATTGTAATTAACTGCAGTTTGTTTTTTCCACTACTTGAAGTTGTGTGATCTGAAAATTGGTGAACAAAAAGTATTTGTGCATCTTACTATGGGTATCTCTAAATAAAATGTATTTGTATAGTGTGTTGGCTTGACTGATGGTTTCCGTTATTTGCTAATCATTCCACTGCAAGTAAAGCCAGGGCAGTTTGAGAGTGAGTAGGCTTGTGTTTTTCCCCTACAGTCCAGGGGATTCAAAGGAAATAAAGTGAACTGTTGTTTTTCCTTCACCAGTGAGTGGAATGATATCCCAAGGGCAGGCTCTCAGCTTATTCCTGGTTTTCATAGCTTAAATATCAATCCTGTTCTCTGTACAGCTGCAGTAATACTCCATGCTTCCATAGGAAATGTATCTAATGGCAGAGTTGGGACTGTTAAACTCTTCAAAGCATCTCCTTCCTGTTCTCTTTTTCTGGTACCTCATTTGCTCTGAGGCAAGAGTTTCCTTTCAATCACTTCATTTTTCTAAGAAGGAAATACCTCTTAGAAGTGTTAGATAGTACAGATACCTATAGGTAGACATTTAGGTATAGGACTAAGGGTTTTGGTGAGACTGTACATAACAAAACTGTATCTGTAGCACTAGCTCTTCCACATACTTTCATTGCACAGGAGAGTGAGGTCTCTGTCAAGCTGTCCTATTTTCCAGCTTCCTCTTCCCAGTCTAGAATTGGGAAGGTTGTTTTTTGGAAAGGAGGAATGTCCTTAAAGCTTAGATCTCTTATGTTGGAGGTTAAAATCATGTGCCTAAAAGCAGCACCTGCATCCCCATCTTCCTCATCTTGGCCTCACCCTGAGGTGCTGGTTTCCATGGTGCTGGATAAACAGTAGCTTTGTATGCAAGGTATGGGAGACTGTGGCTCCAGCTGCACTGTCTCTTCTTGCTGTAGTACTGTCGCAGGCATTACTGATGCTTGTGGATGCAAGAAGAGGAAGAAGAGAGACTGAAAAAGCTTATGAATTCTATGCTGTTGTTCTACTGAGCCTTATACCAAAGTTGAGAGATGAAAAAAATACCCATGCCCCTGGAGACAGGCAGAAGATGATGGGTTAGAAATGGCTCTGGCAATGAGGGTTGCTAACTCCCCAGCTGCATCAGATGCTCCATCGAGTACAGCATTCAGATGGTGTGGAGCCCGTCAGCTGACTTGCAGAACCAAAAAGGACCTCCAGAAGTACAAAGACAGTCAGTATTCATCGAGCTTCTCCTAGATGTGGGCACAGCTTAAATCTCAGCAATAGAGACACCAAATCCTCCTCCAGCAACTAATTCTAGCATTCACCTATTTTGTCCCATCATCTGTCTTGCAGGTCCCCTTGCTTTCCCGTTCACTGCGCAGATGAAGCAGTTTGTTCCCTTCTGTGGGGCAGCTCATCTCTTTCTTTGGAAGGGATTTTTAACTTTCATGGCCATGGTGTTCACTCCTTATACTGAACAGTCCAGGCTCCTTCAGTGCTTTCTTGCTGGCTGTGCTTGGCATGTGCGTGTGTGGCCATTGTAATTTCTGACTGTGGAACAAAGACCAGATCCATCACACTCCTTGGCCTGAAGCCTGCAACAGGTCTACGTTGCTGTCAGCTGTGCTTTTACTGCACACTACAAACATGGTGGCAGTGTGCATTATCCCTTTCAACAGTCAATCTGCTGCCTACCTCCAGCTCACAGCCCAGCTGCTGCAACTTTGCTTGGCTGTCATCACTTCCCTTCTTGGGTGTATTTTGTTTCTGATCTTTGTGACTTGGGATCTCAGCACTTGCCAGATGGTGGCACCGCTGTTGCAGAACAAGGAAGCCAAACCAGGGCAGTTTCATACTGCTTCTGTGAGTTCTTCCTAGCCATAGGTGTGCTCATCCTGTCTGCTTCTGAATGGAGGATCAGGGTAGTCTTTTCCAGTGCAAGGTGCTTTCAGGGTCCAATAAATGGATTAACAAATTAACAGGTGCCAGGAATGCAGTGCTTGAACTGTTCCTTGGGCAAGGGCAGCCCATTTTTTCAAAGAATTAACATGATTAAGTTCACAGTGTATTAGAAAACAAGAAGATCTGTGCTTTGTCTCCCAACTTCCTCAGTCCCCCCCAAGCCTCCTCATCTGGAAGAACAAATGTCAGGATGGCTTCATCCCTCTGCAAGGCTTAAGAGACCATGCGGCCAACGTGGCCTTTGGGAGCTACTGATCAGCTTGCTCTGAAGTACCGCCCTCCATGGAGAGTCTTACCTTTCCCTTCATTAAAGTGTACCATGAGCTGGGAGAGGTGAGAGAGAAGCCACAGGCTCTAAGCGCAGAGCAGAGGTTAAAAGGTCAGCGAGATGGAGTGAGGGTCACGTTCCTGGGATGCTGAAGTCTTGGCACAAATATCTGTAGCCCCCGTGTTTTTTTTCCTGCGTCATCAAGTTTCCTTGTTCTATAGTTTTTCTCTCTCCCCAGACCCCCTGCAGCGCCTAGTGTGTGTTGAATGTTAAGCACATGGACTCATCTACAATAGAAATTGCAGAAATTCTAGACAACTGGAAAGCATGTGGCTAGATTTAAGGTTGCCTTTGGGGAGACACAGACGGGCACTATTGCTGTAAAAGTCCTCCCAGTATAGCAGCTCTATTCTAGGCAAGTATTCACCTAGGGAGCAATGCTGGCTAATTTCTCTATGTATATGAGCCCTAAAAGAGGTCTTGGAGCCAAGAAAGTGAGCACCTGGGAAAGCACAATCCACTTCCTCACTTGCTGTGGTGGCAGCCTGCTTCCTGCTGCTGCGGGCTGCTGGACACCACGCAGCAGCTGGGCTGGCAAGGATGACAGTAGAGAGCTATTGAGCTGTAATGACTTCTGATCTTGCTCTCTAATAAAACCACTTCACAGAGACATTTTCAGTTCCAGGAAAGAAATTCTAGGAGTAATGATGACTTGCCATGTGTATTTATAGGATGCTTTATAGGAGCATCTCTTTCCTGTTCGTTGTAGAAAACCAGCTTGAGCTTTTTACCTGTATAAATAGGCTTTGATTAAAAAAAAATATTGTCCCTGTTATCTTGGTATATATATATACAGTAGGCAGCTGCTGTTGTACTTTGAGTGCATTTGGTTTTGGGGAAAGCTTTTAGTTCAGCACTCTGGGCTCTTCAACTCTTTGCTTGAGAGGACAGGAAACATCTGGAGCTTGAATGTTCTGCACAGAGCAATAGAAAGTGACTACAGGGAAAAGTCTGGCTCATGTGACATGGATTTCCCTGTCACCTTTTTTTCTCAACTTACACACTCTTAGAATATGAAATGGTCAGAGAGGTCAAGTCATACCCCTGAATGCTGGGTGCCTGTACTCTCTGAATGGCAGAGCAGTTTAGGTTGAAAGGGACCTTTGGAGATCACCTAGTCCAACCCTCTGCTCAAAGCAGGGTCAACTAGGGCATGCTGCCCTGGACCAGGTCCAGTCAGGTTTTTAATATCTCCAAGGATAGAGACTCCACATCCTCTCTGGGAAACCTGTGCCGCTGTTTGACTACGCTCACAGTAAAAAAGTTTTAGGTATAAATGGAATTTTCTCTTTTGTGATTTGTGGCTCATCAGTGGGACCCACTGAGAAGTCTGGCTTCATCTTTCATAGTCGCTGCCATGAGGTAAGAGACTGATAAAATCGTCCTGAGCCTTCTCCAGGCTAAACAATCCCAGCTCGCTTAGCCTGTACCTGTATGTCAAGTACTTCAGTCCCCTAATCATCTCTGTGACCCTTCACTGGACTCCCCCTAGTATGCCTATGTTTGTCTTGTATTGTGGGCCCCAGAAGTGGACACAGCACTCCAGATTTGTCTAACCAGTGCTGAACTGGTGAGAGGAGAGGAAGGATCACCTCCCTCAGTCTGCTGGCAGCACTCTTCCTAATGCAGCCCAAGATGTAGTTGGCCTTTGATGTAAAGGCATGTGGCTGGTTCTACTTGTCCAGCAGGACTACCAGGTCCTTCTCTGTCAAGCTGCTTTCCAGATGGTTGGCCCCAGCCCACACTGGTGTATGGGGTTGTCCTGGTTTTGGCTGGGAGAGAGCTAATTTTCCTTCTTAGTAGCTAGAATAGTGCTGTGTTTGTATTCAGTATGGGATTTGGTATGAGAATAATATTGGTATGGTAATACACTGATCTTTTTAGTTGTTGCTAAAAAATCAAGGACTTTTCAACTTCCTATATCCTGCTAGTGTGCAGGTGCACAAGAAGCTGGGGGGGGAGCATAGCCAAAGCAACAACCCAAATTGGCCAATGGAATATTCTGTATCATACAATGTCATGCTCAGTATATAAAGGAGGGCTGGCCTGGCCAGGAAGTTCTTTCTCGCTCTTCTGGGATTGAGGTTTTGGGATTTTCTCTCCTCTGGATCACTAGCTGGGAACGGGCTGGGCATTGGTTGTGGTCCCCCTCTCACAGGAGACAGTCCTCCACAAACTTTCTCCGACATGAGTTCCTCCCATGGGCCGCAGCGTTCCCCACACTGCTCCGTCATGGGTCACTAACTTCCTCCGACTGGATTCCCTCCCACGGCTGCAGCCCTTCCCGAGCTGCTCCGGCGTGGGACTCCCCCGCATGCTGCAATCCTCCCAGCACTGAATTACAGCAGCGGGGCTGCCTTTTCCCATGAGACCCCGGCCTTCTTCGGGCACAGAACCTTGATTATTCCGAGCAGGAGCACAGGCCATAAATCAATGTCTGCTCCACCGTAGATCTTCATGGGTGGCAGGGGGGGGGCCGCCCTGCCGTCTCCCCACAGGATACAGGGGGGTCTCTGCTCCTGGCACACCTCCCCCCTCCTTTCTTCCTCCGTTCCTCCACTGACCTTGGTGTTCACGCAGCTGCAGCAACTCCTCCTCACAAGTCCGACTGCCCGTCACCACGTCCCTTCTTAAATACGTTATCGCAGAGGCGCAGCGTGGGTGGTAAGCAACTGAGTTGTGTATCCCTCATTTATCTATTCTATTATTACTATCATAATTATTACTTTATTTTTGTTCAATTATTAAATTGTTTTTATCTCAACCTATGGATCTACTTCCCTTTACCACTCCAACTCTCTCTCCCATCCCCCAGGTGGGGGAGGGTGAGCGAGTG